CTGTGGCTTTAACCCTTTTGATAAAGGAGGAAGGAAGGTCCCATCTGCCATCAAGGAGGAAATGGGCTGGCTGGAGGTTTAATGAAAATGGGGAAGGTTGGAAATGGCCTTTGCCAAGAGTGGGGTTCTGAGCCGACTGGGAAAACTCGCTGTCAGTGGCTCTAATTTATGTGAACACTGATCTGTCACTTGGTTGCCTGGGTACGACCCAAGGAGGCAGACAGGAGGGCTCATCTGGGGTTGGGGGCTGGCAAAAGGCAGAGGAGCTGCCATGTTGACAAGAGCATGAGTAAAATATTGGCCCTTAGCGTCTAACTTGGACAAGAAGAAGTGAAGGAGAAGAGCACAGTACACCGGGAGAACAGAAGTCAAAAGTGGACCGTGCTCTCCAGGTCTCGTGGGGAGTCAGATGCACGGAGGTGCAGTTCCGGATGGGGATCAGGCCCAGCATGATGGGTGACCTGAGCGGCCCATAGGGCATGGCTGCTGTAAAGCGGAGCTCCAGGAGCTGGACTGTCCACACTGCACTGAAGCAACCCAAGCGGGTGGCAGGAAGGAGCACAGTCCATGGAGAAGTACGCTGAGCTGAAAACAGGCACAGATGTTGGAACTGGCAAAATGGAGGTGAATAGTCATAATGTCAAGAGCAACTGCAGTGGAGTGTTGATCCCCAAAGCCAGGTTGTAGTGAGCTGAGTGTGAGCAGGAGACAGCGAGTGGGGGCTCCCTGTATAAACAGCTCTGGAGGAATTGCAGGGGACATGCTTGATCTCTTCCCGTCTGGAAGGGGACATGGAGTCAAGTTCTTTTGGGGGATGGGAGAAACGAGCAAGACTGTGAGCAGATGGGAACAATACAGTAAAGAGGGTGCAGAGGGTGGGGGGAGGCGTTGGGGGAAGATAAGCACTGGGGGAGCCAAAGCATCCTGAGTACAGGTGGTGATCAGTCCCTGCTATAGTGGGGTGCACACCCCTTGGAACCAAGGAGGAGACTGGGCTTGTAGATTTGGATGAGGGAGTCTTCTGGTGGCTTCTGTTTTCTCAGATACCCTGGAGGTGAAGTCTTGAGGAGAGGGCGCTATTGAGAAATTAGCTCCTTTCTCATTTTCCCCCAAAGTGACTCACCAGGAAGGAATGAAAGACTTTCACCAGGCTTCTGTGGCCTAAGGCCTGGCCCTTTTTCTCCCACCCCACACCTGAAAAGGTCTATTCTGCAGTTCTGGTGTCTGAGCTCTTTCTGGTGGGCTAAGAGAGAGAAGACCCTGTGCGTTTGGGAGTTGATTCTCTGAGATGGAAGCAGGGCAGGAGACTAGGCGGGCCCCTCCCACTCTGACCAGTCCCTTAGGAAGGTGGTCACGTTACTGAAAATGCCAAGACTAAGGGCTGCAACTTGGAGGGTCTTCAGAGGAGGCCCTCCTTGAAAGAACCTGGAATAGAGGGATTGTGGGTTCCTTCCCAAGACCCAGGTGGGACAAAAGAAGTACCTCGGATGGGGGACAGAGAGGGGCCATGACAGTGGGGCTAAAGTCTGTGTCTGAAGGTGGCCTGCAGAGTTTTCCTGCAAGCTGTGGAGCCCAGACACCATCTCTGCTGTGCAGGCCTCTGGCACCTTCGTGTGATTAGTTGTGAAGAAGAGCAGTGGTTTGGAATCCTCACTATCTGGATAGGGACTCAAGCTGACTTTAATTTGATTTAGATCAGCTAAGAGATGCATTTACGTCAGGAGCTTGAGGAGTGTCCAGTGGGCCCAGGATCCAGACAAAGGGTGAATAGTGAATGGGAGCTGACATCTGGCTCCTCGTCCTCCTGCACCCTGGGGCTGGAACCCAGCAGACACAGGCTGCCATGTGGTACCACTCAGCCTTCACAGATGAGCACAAGGACATCCCTCTCCACTGGGCCCAGGAGTGGGCAGCAGGGCCCTCTCACGTGGACCCTGGGCTCAGAGTTTGGCAGCACAAACAGAGCCTTGGCTCCTCTCCTTCCAGGCCTGTGCACACTCACAGACTTGGCCACCTGAAGTTCATGGCCCTGTGGCCTGGGCCTCTAGTTTCATGATCTTGACCTTGGCCAGAACTAGGTCTTATGGCATTGCAAGTTGGGTTACCAAAGGATCAAGCTGGTAGCCCATGGGGGCATGGTGGGCAGAAGGGTTGGGCTGTCAGAGCTATGGGCCTGGGAGCAAGGGGACAAACCCCACGAACCCCTTGTCAGCGCATGCCAGGCCCACAGAAGCTCCAAGTGGGGACCAGCCCCCAGCTTGGTGACCCCAGCTGCTCACTTAGTCTGATGGGTCCCTGAGCACAGAAGAGGGAACACTGTATTTTCATTCCTTTAAGAAATACGTACAGAGGACCTAGAGTGCATCAGGCCCCAGTCTGGCCACTGCAACGAGGCAGGCTCATCTCTCCTGCCCTGAAGGAACCCACAATGTGTGGCTTGGGGGCTCACACGCAGACAGTGATGACACCAGGTGCTTAGGGCAGTGGGAGGTAAGAGCCCAACAGGGCCAGGCATCATGGATGGCTTCCTAGAGGAAGAGGTGGTTCTAAATAGGTAACTATTGACAGAAATCTGCACCAAAACGCACTCAAGGCACAGCAAGTCCCAAGGGTGCTGTTTCTAACAATGCACAAGAGGTTTTACGAACAACTTGGCTTTGTGTGGACCAAAACTGGAAGATCAGAAATTCCCTCTCTCTCTCAGTCTCTCCCCTTACTCTCTCTCCCACCCCCTCTCCACCTTCTTCCTCTTCCCTGCCCTCAACCCCCTTCCCTTCAAGGAGTAGTCACAGGGTCTCCAGCCTCTATTTTTCAGGTCTCTAGTTAGACTGGTGACAGACTAGGGGGGCTACAGGGAAGCAGGCATCCCGTGACTGAGTGAAGAGGGTGCTTCTGCTGAGAGGGGGCCACCAAAGGCCACAGATCGGGGCTGGGACAGAGAGGAAGTTAGAGGGAGCGTCAGGGAGTGGTATGAGGATGGCTCTTGGTTATGTGGGTCTGAGCTTAGAAGAAAGGCTCTGGAGAGGGTTTTTTTGCAGAGGGCAGGGGGGGTGGTGGAGATAGAGATGCGGAAGTCATCAGCATATGGTTGCCCAGGAAGAAGGGCCGGGGTAGATAGGGCAGTCTGGGAGGTGCCCAGGAGAAGCAGGGAATTGAGAGGACTGAGAAAGTTTAGCCAGCGAGGAGAATGTAGGCCATCAGAGCCAAGGGGAGGAACTGTTTTCACAGGTCAGCAAAGAGCAGGCATAATTGGCTAGAAAGCATACTTTTTTTTAATTTGGGGGGAAAAAATCTAAACCTAAACCTCTTCCCCAATTTTGAAAAACAGGCAAAAATGTCTGAAGATGCATAAAATTTGCTTACCTCCCCCTCCAGTCCACCAAAATTACCAGTGGGTAAAAAACCACTGACTGGTAATCATGTTTGATGCATTTGTCATCCAGATCTAATTGTTTGCCCAGAATCACTGGAGCCAGTCTCGTCCCTTTTTCAAACACCAGGGGGCGCACATGCACTGTTTCTGAATCCAAGTCCAGTGCAAAAGCAGGCTGTAAATTAGGTAATAACCAAAAGTTGACCCCTAGACTCCACCTCTACCTCTGCCCTAGAACATTACCTCTGTAATCCCTGAATCCAGGGGTCCCCAACAATCCCAAGACTTTATTTCTCACTGATCCCCAAGCTCATCAAGGTATCAAGGAGACTCCACAGAGATCATAGGCTCTACAGGGGTCCTCATCTAACCTTGGGCAATTGGGATATGTACCCCCTTCTTTCATGAGGGGGGCAGCCAAGAGAGGACGGGAGCTGCTGTGGTCTGACTATTAAGTGGTGGCATCATAGACTGGAGAAGGGAGGGCACGGAGTCAAGGGCTTTGGTGCCCAGGTGTAGCTCTTGCTTTGGAACTTACCAGGTCCCTATGATTAGGACTTGATAGGAATCAAGTTATTGGTCTAGCCTGGAAACTTACAGGGTCAGCATTTGAGTTTGGAACCAGGAGTCACAAACTCAACACCAAGCTTCATATTAGGCTTGGGGGACGTCATCAAATCTTGAACTTAGGGGCCAATTCAAGACTTGATTCAGGTTCACAGCTGAAATTGGTACAGATGTTGGAGTGTCCACCGGCCTAAAGTTGGGGCTAACATGGGTCCAGAGAAGTGAAAGGTTAGAATGGGGATGAAAGGGATTTGTGTGGAGTTTCTGCAAAGTCAGTCTCATCAGCCTTGGGTTCTAAGATGATTTATTAGAGTTGGGTCAAGTTATGGTCCTCAATGGCCCATTGGTGGCTGGGGTTTGACATCAATATCTATTAGAGTCCTTTTCTGGTGACTCAACCCCAATGTTGCCATTGGGAATCCCAATTTAGAAAGTGTGTTGGTGTTGACCTGGGACCAGAAGTGCAGTGTTGGAATTTTAGGTAAGACTCAGGGTTCAGAAGAGAGAATGCTGGTTCCATTGCAAGGTAGTTCTTGGAAATTAGGGTTCGTGTAGGGATCAAGCACTCAACATCAGTGTTGAGGTCTTTTTAAGGACCAGTGTTGGTTCTAGTGCGTCACTAGCAGAGGTGCTAATGTGGTTTAGTCAGAACTGGTAGTTGGGATCAACATAGAGGTTCAGATTGAAATGATTACTTTCATCAACTTGGGGTCGGTTTGGGGGTTTGGGCTCAACAATGAATTTGGGGAGGTCTGGGCTCAACATCGGATCCTACGGGGAGGAAATGAGGTCCTAGAATAGCATAGGGCCCATATTATACCTGGGAACTACTAAACGGATCTGCACTTCGTGTGGGAGTTTGGGTCTGCCCTGCTTATTTATCGGGGTTCTGGCTCAACGCTCCCGGAGTTGCAGCCGCGTTGAAGTCGGCGTTGGGCTGTGGTCTCGCCAGGCCTGCGCGGCTCCGCGGCTCCGCCGGCGAGTGCACGAGGGGAGGGGCGCGGCGGGCGCGCGCACGGCAGGGGCGGGGGCGCGGGCGCGCGGGCGCGCGCGGGGGCGCGCGGCGGGAGCTGGCGCGGGAGCGGCGGGAGCGGCGGCGGAGAGGCGGCGGCTCCAGCTCCGGCTCCGGCTCCGGCTCGGGCTCCGGCTCCGGCTCCGGCTCCGGCTCGGGCGGCGGTGGCGGGAGCAGGTCCCGGTGGCGGCGGCGACGGCAGAGGAGCGGGAGCGGCGGCCCCGGCGGCTTGGGGGGGACATGCGGACCGACGGCCCCTGGATAGGCGGTGAGTGACCCCCGGGCCCCCCTGCAGCCCCCCCGCGTCCGCTCCTCTCCCACCCCCCCCGCCCTCTCCCCGCGTCCACTCAGCCGGGCCGGAGGCGGTCCCGGGGGGCTGGGGGCGCCGCTTAGGCCGGGCCGCGCCCCCACCTGCCGCGCCCGCAGCCTCGGCTAAGCCCCCCCCCAACCCGGCGGCGCCTCCTCGCGCTCGCCCGGCGGCAGACGCCCCCCTCCAGCGCCGCGGGCCGGCTCGCAGCTCGCAGCCCCCGCGCCCCCCCCCGCCGCACCTGAGCCGCAGCCCGCGCCCCCCGGCGCAAAGTTTCCCTTTTGCATTTTGCTCCCCTCCTCCCGGTCCCGCCTCGCCTCTCCCCGCCGCCGGCGCGCGCGCTCCGGGGGCGGCCCGCAGCCTCCCACCGCCGCCCCGGCTCCGGGCGGGTCCAGGCCGCGCCCCCGCCCCCGCCGCGCGGGCGCCCCCTCCCCGCCGGCGGGATCCGCACCGCCGCGCCGGGGCTCGCTCGCCGCCCCGCGCACGTGTGGTCCCGGTGCGCCCCGCGGGTGCCCGCCCCCGCCGCCCGGGGGGCCGGGGGGCGGAGGGGCCGGGGGGCCGTGCCCCCCCAGCCCCGGGCCGCGGCCCGACGGCCCGGAGCGCCTGTCCCGCGAGGACGTGTCCGCTCGGACCCGCTCCGGAAAGTTCGCGCAGTCGCCGCCGCGTCCCGTCCCGCGCCGGCGTGAGCGCCCGGTCCCCGTCGCCGAGCCGCGCTTCTGCCCAGGTCGCGCCCCGCGCCCGCGCCTCGGTCCCGGTGCCCTTCAGGGTCTCTGTTTCTCGGTCTCCCTTTGTCGCGGCGTCCCAGGCCCTCCGCCCTGCCATCCCGGGGTCTCCCGCCCGCCCCGCGCCGCCTCCCGGGCGCTCTGTGCCCGCTCCCGGGCCTCCGGGCGCCTTCCCGGGCGCTCTGCCTGCTCCCCGGGCCCTGTGCTTTCCCCGTCTCTCGGGTCTCCCGGGTCTCTGATCCCTCCACCATCTCTGTGCCCTCCCCGCCCCCGCTCCGTGTTGCTCCCTGGTCTCCTCGAGTCTGTCTCCCACTGACCAGAGTCCCTGCCCCCCCACCAGCCCCCCTCCCCGTTTCTCTGGAATGCTGCCCCTCTGGTCCTTCCACCCCAGGGTGGGGGAGGGGCCAGCCTTTCTCCCCCTTTTTCAAATCCCCCCTCCTTGCTGGGCCCCTCCGTTGGAGCAGGCTGCTGGGTGAGGACACTGTACCTGCCTGAGCTGGGAAATGGACGCGAGGCTGCCAGCCTGGGAGATGGGGGGGCAGCGAGGCAAGGCCTGGGAGGCTGGGCTGCTGCGTGATGGTAATGAGGGCCCCGCTTTGGCTTCTGAACAGACAAGGGCTGGGATCAGAGTGACCTGGTGTGGGATCTGGGATCTGACCAGGAGAATCCAGGGAATTGCTTTAGGGTGGGAGGCCTGGAAAAGCACCCGGGAGTTCCAGAGGGATCCTCAATGGTGAGGCATCCCCTGAAGAGGGAAGCCTGCTGCGGGGTCCTTTGGGCGGCATCAGGAATCTGATGGGATCCAGAGGAGAGTTATCTGACAGGAAACCTTAGGAAATTCTATGCTTGGCTCCTTATTAACTCTTGCTTCAGGGAGCAAGAAAATCCCTGTTTTTCACTGATGATGTGAATGAAGCCTAAGGCTTCCAGAAGGAGCAGGTGTAACTCTCCAAGCACAGCCCCCACATCTGCAGCCCCAGGCACAGGCCACACACTCTCATACTCTCAACACCCTCCCCTTCATTCCCACACTCAGTCCCCCTCCCCCTCCCCCAGGATTCTTGCCCTCACGCTTGCACACTTGGCCTGCAGACCAGCCAGAGCTCAGAAACCTGCTGTGCTTGCACACCCATGCACCACTTCTGTGCTCTCCCAGCACCCTTGTGCACATCTGGGGAGGGGTCTTGCACAGACTTTGTTGAGTATTTTTGCTTGCAGAGTTTTTCCGTTACCATTTGAAAGGTCTGTAGTTTTGTTTTCTTTTCCATTGGATCTTCTTTTTCCCTCTCTCATTCCTTTAACAAGGAAATTGTTTCAAAATAAGTCCCTCCCCTCTTTTCCTGCCCCCTGTAGCTCTTGCCCTCCCCTCTGTTAAGCCTGTGAACACAGTGAGGGTGGGTGTGCTGGAGAGGAGGTTAGGTTTTCGTACTGGTGAAGTAGTTTGGGGGGTGGGGAGGGCTGGCTACAGTAAGAGCAGACTGGCTAAAACCTTTCCTTGAGAATTGTATCAATATATACACAGCAGCCTGTGCTCCCTAGCTTTATCCCCTCAGCCCTCACTGTGGGAGTCCTTGTGGGGGGCCCTGTGAGGGGGAGGTGGGACACACACAGCTCCTCCAATTTTCAGCTTGAGAACTTGAGGTCCTTCCTCCATGAGTGTCAGTTTCACCCCCCATAAAATGGGACACCTAACCTAGTCCCAGCCTGATCTCAAGGCTTTTGTGAGCGTCCGAGAGAACTTTGTGACTGACGCTGCTGTGTGCTTGGGCCAAACTTGCAGCCCCGGCCCTGCCCTTGAGAAACTCATGGTCTCTGGGGAAGCAGAGTGCATCTTGGGAATGCAGAGCAATTCAGTAACCTTATTGATTGCTGATTGTGTGCCAGACACTGGGCTAGGCTCTTTCAGGCAGGCTGCCTTGTTTCCTGTGAGACTAACAGCTGTGTAGAAGTGGCATTTCACCCCTGAGGAGCTGCTGAGATTGAGTTCTGCATTAGCTCACCTAAAGTATCTCCAGTTTTGAGCTAATGTTGGAAGATTAGAGGAGTACGCCATGGGCCAGGGGAGAGTTTAGGGGGAAATGCCTCCCAGAGGAGACTGAGGCAGGGGCTTTATGAATTGGGTTTTGAGGGATGAATAAGAGTTTGCCAGTTGAAGGATGCCCTGTGCAGCATCAGAAAAACTCGGATATTGTCATTTGTGGGATATTCAAAGATATAGTAGATCACAAAGGGCCTTGAATGCCTTACTAAGGAGCAGAAGGGAGAAATCAAAAGTTTAAAGTTTGCCTGGGGTGTGTGGCATATGCATTGATGGGATTTATGTTTCTGGAAGAGAATTCTGTGGCTATGAGAAGTGTATGGAGACAGGAGGAGGGAGGTACAATGAAGTCACATGAGAGATGATGGTGCCTTGGATAAGGTGGTGTTTGGGAGCCTTTAGAAGGCATGTTTATCAGGACAGGATGATTTATTGGCTATAGGGACAGGGGAGAAGAAGAGAAAGTGACCCAGATTCCTGGGAGTTATGGAGTGAGGCCTTTTCTGAAGGCCACATATTTTCACTGAGCTAGAGACTTAGGGAGGGAAGGTAGATTTGGGGAACCAATAATGAACTCCTGGTTGTACATATCATTGCCTTTGAGAATCTTGAGGCATTTGAGGTTCTCTGGGGGTGGGAATACCCCAGGAGGTGGGTAGGTGTGAGGATCTGACCTTTGAAAGAAATTTAGGTCTGAGACAGGACAAGAATCCATGAGTGTTGAGCCATTTCACCAAAAGAAAGCGGGCTTCGGTGATGAAAAGACCAAATTCTAGTTTCACGCTGCTTTGACTTTATTCCACTTCTTAGCAGTGTGACCTTGAGCAAGTTGCTTAACATCTCTGAATCAGTTTTCTCAGTTGTCAAATAAAATCCCATGCCTCGTGGGGTAACAACCCCATGAAGGTTTAAGTTAACATCAACCAGGGCCTGGCATCCAGTAAGTAGTGGTTACCCTCTTCCTCATTTTCAACAGGGAGGGTGCAAGCCCATCCCCATCAGAATAGGGGGGCAGCTTTAAAGACTACATTGTTATGGTTAGGGCACCTGTGTCCGTAAAGTAGCTGTAACTTTGAGCTGAGATTGGCAAACTCCATTTGTTAAGCTCCCCTAACAACAAACCCAACCCCCATTCCTCACCGTGGTGGATGGGCTTATGTGTGTCATTCAGGGAATTTGCCCTGCAGATGGGCTGGTGTGAGGCTAAAGGATGACACCGGGTTGGGGGAAGGTGGAAAGGGATTCTATTATGGGAGCTTCGATGAGTTTACTTTCCTGCTTTTCCCTACCCTACACAGGCCCTGGTTTCACCCTCCCAAGGCCCGATGCTCCCACTCTGCATGTATCCCCGACCTCCAGATGTGTGGACCATGATTTTGGCTCCTCGGCAGTGTTGTAGCTGCTGCTTTGGGGGGCTGTTACTGGTGCAGACATAGGGCCTGCCTCTGTGCCTCTTCCTCTGGATTGCAGCTTGCTCCTGGTCCAGCAGCCAGGAGGCAGATGACCGAGAGCCCTGCTTGGTGACGGGGTGACCAGGCCTTCTTACCTGATCCTGATCATGGCTGCCAACCTTGCCCCTTCTGAGGCCTTTTTTGGAGCCACTGAATGATTCCTAATCAGGTGTTGACCCTGCCAGGCTCTCTGAGTTGTTTCCAGTTGGTCCTCTGGGTATTCCCAGCAGTCCTGAGTGCTCTGGGCAGGTCTAAGGGCCTGCAGTGGATCTGGGCACTGCTGCTGGTGGTGCATCTGAGGGTTATTCTAGTTGCCTGGAGGTTGTTTTGAAGCCAGTTTGATCCCGGACTGGTGTGTGTCCAGGTGCTGTTCTAGAACGCTGCCCTGGTGGTGTTCTATGTGCTCTTCTAGTACAAGGTCCTGTGCCTGCTTTGTCTGTTCTCTGACCGTGTCAAGGCCATTTGGGGCACAACATCTTTCCAGGTGCTGCTTCTGCTCAGTAAAGGTCCAGTCTCCGGGCACCAGGCCTGGTGCTCCTGATGTGACCTGGAGTAAGGCCATAGTGCCAGCTGGCATGGGGGACCCTCCTGGATCTCCGCCGTGGACTCTGCACCTCTGCCCCAGGGTCCCTGAGCAGCGGTGGAACCAACAGCCTTCCATTTGGCACTGAAAGGTCCCAGTGGGCGTCCTCAGACAAACGGGTCTTTGAGTTTGGGACACTGGAGCTGGTTTGTCAGGCCAGACCTGCCCAGCAGCCTGTATGCTGGGAGCAGCGGCCACAGGAAACTTTGCGGAGAAAAGTGGGATGGGGGAGGGAAGCTGGCGGCCCTCCTGTTGTTGATGCTGTGGGGCCAGAGGGGCAGTGGAGCTGGAGATGGTGTGAGCTACCGGGTCGGTGCAGATGGCACTGGGTCGTCCAGACCTGTCTTCATCTTGACAGGTCCCATCACATCGAGCCTTCGGTGGGCAAGGATGTCCTTCCTATTGGCAAAGGTGGTCAGTCTCAAGTGATGACAGTTCCCAGGAGGGGGAGGTTGGCCTTGGGCTGTTGAGGCTGCTCCCTGAGTTGGCAGGAAGCAAAGTGACAAGGCAGGGATCGATGTGCAAGTGGGGACCTGAGCTTAGGAGAAGCCTACAGTGAGCACAGGCTGGGTCGAGTGGGCACCCCTGGTGCCAAGCTGCTGAGTTGTGGCGAGGTGGTGATGACATAGATGTATGGGCGTGTCCAGCCCCTTCCCCCACCCAGGAACAGTTCCTGTGCCAGTGTGAGCTCAGTAATGATTCTAGAAGGAAGGGGCCGGCCTCTGAGACTGTGTGCATGCCAGCGGAGGAGGCACCCAGGGGCACGCCTTCATTTAAAAAATTATAGAGAAGCAGAAAGTCAAAAATAAATATTGCTTCTGAAGCTGCTTTGAAGGCTGCATGTATGCCGGTGGGTTCTTCCAGGCTGGGCTGTTCCCTGTGAATTCATTCATCCATTCATCCACTCATTCAGCATATCCTGCTTGAGCGCCTACTATGTGCAACTCTACACTGGGGTGTCAGGGGATACGAAGCTGAGCCTGACACACACTGAGCTTATGGTGGTGACTCAGCGACCAACTTGTAGTCGTGTGAATGAATAAACCTCCCGTCTTGGGTCACCGCTCCAAGACTGGGTCCAGGCACGTAGGCAGGCGTACCTGAGGAAGTACCGTTGGCACTGAGACCCAAAGGGATCATGGGCCAGAAGACTGTAGATAGTGCGTTGCATGCAGTGTGCACGGCGCAGGCAAGGCCAGGCAACGGGCGATGGAAGGAAGGTGGCCCATTGTGGATCAGAAGAGGAAGTAACTTGGGTAGGCAGGAGCTTGGCCAGGTAGGGCTGCCTGGGGCGGGGCACCACTGCTCTGCTAAGGAGTTTGGACACAAGTTTTACTGCTGAGGTCAGGCACTTGCTCTGTGTTTAAGGCTGTATGCCTGCTGCCTGGAAGAAAGCCCAGCACGTAGTAGGTGCTTAAGAGTAGTGAGTGAATAAGTGAAGTGATGGAAGTTTTTAACTAAATGGGAATCGTCCTCAACAAACATTTCTGTAACGTGCTCTTTTTTCTTGCATAAATAGCAAATTTTGAATGTCTGTGTATGTCAGTACATACAAACCAGTTTTCCATGGTGGAATTCTTGATGTTTTCTCATCCTTTTCCCCATCTCTCTTTCTCCCTAGGAAGGAGCGGAGGCCCGGGTGCCCTGCCCTCAGTGCTGGTTGTCCAGCAAGAGTGACTGGCGTGAGCAAGCAAAGACCTGGTGAGTGTGCCCTGAGGTGTGGCCAAGGCAGAGCCATGCTGAGCCACTTGGATGTGAGACGGCCCAGTAGGACCGTGGCATGGGCCCTGTGTGTCGGGTGTGGGTGTATGTGTATGTCTGAGAGATGATGGAGGGCTGGACCAGGAAGGCGGTGATGGGGGTGGAGAGAAGGGATTTGAGTTCTATTTAGGGAGGTGGAGTAGACAGGACACGATGAAGGATTGAATGTGGGGCATGCGGGAGGGGAGGTGTCAAGGATGGTGCCTGGGTTTCTGGCCAGAATGTATGATGGCGGTGGGTGGGGAATGATATACAGCTCATCAGCTGCTGTAGGTGTGAAATAGGCTTCCGGATGACATCCTGGGATTTACACCAGGATCGGTCTGCTTTTCCATTTCCCAGGTTTCTGTGGAAAAGACTGTTCCACCCACTAGCGGTAGAAGGAACAGGGTGCCCATGGGATCCGGGCCACATCCCTCCTCCTGTCCTTGAGGTCCACTTGTCTTCCTTTCCTCTGAAACACAGAGCGATGGGTTGGAGGTATAGGGACACGGTTGGAGAATTAGGTTGAAGTCAAAGCATGATGAGCTTTGGATTTCAGGCTAAAGACTAACCTTTTTCCTGAGAGTTAATATGGAAGCATTGCTCACCCGGTCATTCACTCGTGAACATTATCTGTATGTCTGCTGTGGAACAAAGCAGCAAAGCTCACGTGAGGGCCATGGTCAGATTAGCATTTGGTAAGGTACTTGGGGGTGTTGGTTTGTTTGTAGAATGGATCAGTAGGGGGTGACCAGAGGCAGGAAGCCCACAGAAGAAGTGAGCAGTGTTGAGCCCTCCTAATATGGTGGCAGGCATGGGCAGGATAGGTTCAGAGTTACCAACTGAGTGTGTGTGAGGGAGAATCTGAGATGGACCCTCAATGGGTGACCAGATGATGGTGCTGTCACTGAGATGGGAACCTGGGGGAGAAGCGGAACTGGGAAGGATAAGTTCTATAGGGCCGTCCTCCATAAACCGGAAGGCTGAGCTCCTGAGTGTCTTGATGGTTCAGGGCCCAGTAGGGCCCACTGAACAGTTATGAACTGACAGTTGAACGACGAAGGCTGTGAAAGATGGTTCTGGCCTAGGCAGGGAAAGGAAATGGGCATGTATCAGGTATCTGCTTGGGGGCGCTGGTCCTTGCACAAGGCGAGTTGGGTGCTGGGGTTATGTAGACGGTGCTCCATGCATGAGAAGGTCAGGTGGGGAGGGTGGGTGTGGGCATGCCATGTGTCCCTTCACCTGTCAATCCTCAGATGACGGGACTGGGAGGCCATTCTCATCTGAATAGGTGCCTCAATGTGGAGTCCTTTGTCCTCTGGGGAAACCAGTAGTTGAAGGCATGTCTGAAGGGTTGTGGGTGGGGTATGCTTTGAAGCCTGGCTGCTAAGGCAAGACTGGTGGGGAGGGGAGAGGCAAATGCTCTGAGATCCTGAGGCCCAGGGGCAGCAATACAAGAGTTAAGCTTGAGGAGGACCTCCTTGGGGACAGCCCAGGGTGCTCACAGGGGATGGGCATCTGGAGCAGGGGCCAGGCAGACCCTGGGTGCATCAGCAAAGGATCTCTGTCTATAGCAGGGTCTTTTCACATTCAGTGCTATTGATATTTCAGACCAGATAGTCCTTGGGGGGAAGGGGTTGGCTTGTTGTATAGGATGTCTAGCAGTATTCCTTGTTTCTTCCCACTAGCTGCCCAGAGCAAATCCCTCTTCCCCTCATTCTTGACAATCAAAAATATTTCCAGGCACTGCCTAATGTCCTACAGGAGACAGAATTACCCTAGGTTGAGAACCACTGGTCAACACTGCTTCTTGTTGCCTTCACTCTGTCTTGCACATCTGGAAAATGGGAGGGTCAGTCAGCAAAGACTGCCAGCTGTGGGCCACCAGGGCTGAGTTCTCCAGGTTGAATAGGTGACTGGGGCCAGAGAAGGGCACTGTTCCCAGTGGAGAGCACAGCAAGTGCAGAGGCCTGCAGGGAGCCTCACTAGCAAGTGTTAACTCAAGGGGGGCTCCACTTCCCCAAGGAAGGAGGCTGAGGGCTGGTGAGAGGAGCTGTAGCTGTAGGTAGGTACCTCAGCTGGCCCCTGGAGCTAAGCCTCTACTGGACCTTGTGCCAACCCCAGAGATTCTGGGACCCTCTTCCTAATCTCTTCCACTCCCAGGGGAGACTGAGAAGCTGAGGGCTGCAAGAGGCTAGGGGACACCGAGGCCAGAGGCTGAGTGGGTAGGCTATACCTGGCTGGGCTCACAGATTGACCCACAAGCTGCTGCTGGCCACCTCCTGCCCAGGGGCTAGGGTCGTGGCTGAGACTGATTTATTCCAGTCATAATCGGGTGGTTGGTTTGGTGAGAGCTGGAAACATGTTGGTTTCCCCTTCCCAAGTGTAACAAGGCCTGTTTCCGCCTCCGTGGCCGCTGCTACAGTGCCACGCGGTGAACTGTCCAGCACATGACAAAGGGCTCGGTTAGCTGCCCGCTGGTTGGAAGATGAGCACGGCACCCCCCACCCCTTCAGGCTCCTCGCAGCCCTAGTGCATGCCTCGCCCCTTAGCGGGCTGCCCCATGAGACTGCTCCTGCTGATGTCCATTTCAGGGGCCCCTGAGTGCTGGAACCGGGGTCCTGACCTGGGGAGGAGGCTGTGGGAACAGGTGGTATTTGGAGACTAATTAATATTTGTGAATAATAGCACCTGCCCAAGGGAAACGAATCATTCTGTGTTTGCATATTCATGAGAAGGACTCAGGCATGATCCCAGCTGTTCTTCAGCCAGGGAACCCCCCATCTGTGGCGTCACACTATCTTTCAGGGGCTCTCCACTGAGGGAGGCAGGGGTGGTTAGGGTGGACCACATGGGGGTGACATGGCCTCCATGCAGCACACGTTTCCATGACACTGGTCTTCAAATCCTGTGGTTTGGTGTGGTGCCTGCTCCTTGCCTCTCCCTCAGTGATTCCCAGGGTCTTCGATTTCACATACCAGAAGAGTTTCCAAAAGTAATTGGGGGCCAGACATGGGGTTGGCAATTTCTTATTTTGCCAAGTAAGGACATTATAAAATATAACTGCTATCTGCTATCTCCATCATTTCATACAAGAAAGGACATTTTAACACCAAGGACAAAATTTGAGAATAAAGGACAGTTCTTCCTAAGAAAGGGCAGTCGGCAGCTTTGCACTGACGTAGCAAAGAAAAAAGATGTATTAAAACCATTCTGAATGTAGAAAAATTGCATCCAATTATATTCCACAATATCATACAGTATAGAATTGTTTTTTTGCCCAAGTGTGTCAGTTTTTTAGGACTGATGGTCCACAGTGCAATTCAGAGCTGAGCCTGAGTGTGAGCGCTTAGGCCTTGTTTTCGTCTCAGTCGTTTGAAAGCCCAGCCATGCTGGCGGAATTGAATGCTTTGCTCTTAACACCAGTGCCCAGGAAGGTTCTCGGCAACCCCAGCCAGGCTAGCACAGGTCCCACCTGGTGCTGTTCTCCTACGTCTCCTCACTCTAAACACTCAGGGGTGGGGACAGGACCAAGGTCTAGACTGAGGTTGGGGGACTGAGGGTGTGGATCCAAGGTTGCTCTGCACCAACAAGGAGGCCCTAGAGCCGGGAACAGCCTGCACCGCTGTGGGAACGGGAGGCAGCTTGCTCACGCGAGGAGGGAGTCAGGGAGTCAGGTCCTGGCTTGGACAGCTGTGTTGTTGCCGGAGGGGCTCTCTAAGAATGTGATGGTGATTGTGTGTCCCTAATGTCTGCCCACTCTCTGGGTCTCTGTGTCCCTGGGTCCGTGGGCTGCTGGAGAAGCATTCAGGGAAGGAGATGCTTTGTTTTCACTTTCTCCAGCTCTGTCCTGCTTTGTGCACCAGAACAATCCTGATCTCTCCGACCAGATCCACAGGGCCCTCAGAGTCCCCAAGGAAGGGCCATTCATTTTGGCCACATTCAGGGTGGGTTTACCAGAACCCCTGGTCAGAATCTCATCCCAGATTGTAGCCCATGGTGTCTGTTTGGGAACTCACACCCCTTTAATATCAGGGCCAGGGACTAACGCCCCTGTGATATCTACTACAGCGGTCACACCTCAATGATGACAAACAGGGGAGGTATACCCCTACAGTGTCTATCAGGCAGCCACACCCCCACGACGTCCATATCCTCATCTGCACACACGTGACGTCTGGGCCAGATGGCAACACCTCCACGTCTGCACCTGGGAGTCGCACCGCTGTGATTACTGTACCAGGTGGCTACAGGGGTTAAGCCTCTGTGATCCCATGATGATTGTGCTGTGCACATGTGCCTCCGTAAGGCCTGTTTCGCTTCATCCCCTCACATCCATACCACGGAGATATGCCTCCTCCCTGATGTGTGGTAGGGCTGAGGTTATGTCCCTAGGAGGACTGCACTGGGGGGTACACACTGGAATGCTTGTACCTAGGAATTAGACCTCTGAATATTATCTTCTTGCACCCCATGGTGCCAGTAATAGGCGCCCCCTGCCCCGTCCTTTGGCATAATATGCTTCTGAGCGATAAACCCATGATCTTTGAACCAGGGCCTCTAGGATGGGGCTGTGTCAGCAGACCCTACCCCATGACAACCTGGCTGGGCAGGTCACACCTGATGTCTTCTGGGAAGTAGAAAACACCAGTGCTGCACCCCAGTGCCATGACGACCAAGTGCAGACAGGGCTGGAGAGATGTGCCGTGCAGGGCATCTTCCTGGGAGCCTCTCTCCTGGTCTCAGCTGCCTGTGTGGTCCCGGCCAGAACCCCAGGCGTGGCGTAATTGGGGCTGGATGTCCGCCGTAATTTCTGCTTGCTGGCTTGGCCGCTCAGCTCCTCTTTCAGATATTCCAGGACGAAGACTATCTCCCACCTTTTCCTTTGTGCTCAGCACCTGCTTCTTGGGCGCAGTACTACCTGCTTTGTTTCAGCACTTTACTCACCTGCCCTCTTCTGACCTCAGACCTTTGACTGTCCTGGTAGAGACTGGGGTTCAAGTTCCAGGAAGGGGCAGAGCCATCTTTACCTCTTCATGTTCGCCTGCCCTATCACCTTGCAAATTCTCTTATCATTGTGGGTCAGCAGGCACCTGGGGCTGAGCACGACTCCCACCAGAGTCCATGGTGCCACTGCAGAACCCCAAGGTGTGTTCACTGTCGTTGACGCCCCTCTGTGCCCTGTTGTGTTTTCAGAGCATTGATGTGAGCTGAGCACTGGGCACTCATTTGGGCCCTGGGTGGGGGACATAAGAGAGACCCTTGGGAGCCCACCATCGGACTGGGGGTGATAGCAGTATGTACTGTGTGGTGTGTCCATGCTGAAGGCATCACACAGGTGTCTGGCATAGTTGGGGGGAGGGGATGGCACATCAGGCAAGGAGCCCTGTGAGCAAAGGCCTGGAGGCGTTCAGCTCATCCCAGCCTCCCCTCTCCTCCCCCCAGGTTCCTGCCTAGATGGCAGTTTCTAGCCAGTGGCTCCCTGAAGTTTGCATCCACCTCTCCCACCCTTGATTTGCACTAGGCAGCTAGGGCAAGAGCAGAGGAGGTGTAGGGGTGAATCTTAGGGTCCAACACCCCCATTCCTGGTCACTAGGGCCTCCTTGTGGTTTCCCTTTAGAGTGGGAAGATGCCATGGGAATTGGGTAGGATGAGAGTGGCCAGGCTAGGCAGCTTCAACTTGTCGAGAGCACGTCCTGGCGAGCCCAGACGGGCTGTGGCTTTGGCTTCAAGCCTCTGATACCTGGATACTGTCTGCCACAAAAAGGCTGTGCTCTGAAGCCTGTGCTTGGCATGGGGGGTCTGGCTGTGCCTCCCCTCTCTGCTGGACTCTGGAGTCCCTGGTCTGTGTGAGTCTGCTGACTTCTTGCTGCTTTCTGTCTCTGTCTTGTCTTTGTCTGGTCTCTCTGCCTCCACCTGTGTGTCTGTGTGTCTCTGTCTCTCTGACCCCATGTCACTGTCCCTGTCCCTTATGGAGGTGAGTTAGAAATTCAGAGTATGGGATGGACCATCCCTGTGCATTCTCTGATCTCAGGAACCCCTCCACTCAGGTTTAGAAAATGACCTAAAGGCCTCTTGTGCTCTCTCTACAGTGTGGCTTTTGGATTACTCTTGGGGTCACTGGGGAATCAATGAGGAGTGTGGACGGTCCTGGGGGTCAGATGGTCTGAGTGGTCATTGCACAGTCCAAGGGGTGGGTGGTTGATCTAGATCCTGGATGGATGGTCATTGAGGGTGAGCGGGGGTGTGGTGGTGAGCAGGAGCCAGGAGGTGGCATGGGTGGGCAATAGAGACATTGGCAGATACCAGCTGATTGACTCTGCCCTTCTCTCCATCACAGGTAGATTGTCCTGGGCTGTGGCTGGCCGTGGTGCTGGAGCCCTGGATGGCCCCTGAGCCAGCCCCAGGGAGGACGATGGTGCCCCTTGTGCCTGCACTTGTGATGCTTGGTTTGGTGGCGGGCGCCCATGGTGACAGTAAGTCTGACCCCTCAAGGTGTGGGCTCTCCCCAGTTGAAAGGTGATTTGTCTCCTAGTAGGGCTCTTGGGGGACAGCACCAGCTACTTAGGGGAAATGGGATAGCTCCTTCTGTTCTAGAGAGACCCCCCCAACTCAGAGCTCCCCTCCAAGGTGTACCCCTGCCCCATGTGTTCCAGAAGCATCCCAGGGAATGCTGGCATGTCCCCTGAGGCACTGCAGGGTGGGGCAGGTCTAAACGTGACCTTATTTTATGGTGAGGGTGAGACATGTCATGGATTCATGTGGTCACTGTGTGACGTGCTCAGGCGTGTGCTGTGTGGACCATTGCAGATCTGTGTAGACAGCACCGTGTGAGCTGGGGGGGTGGGGCCTAATGTGGGAATAGGGGGGCGCCCTACAAGGAATGTGTGCACATGTGAATGGGATGCCAGCTGTGTCCTCAGGTCCAGGGCGGGCTCAGAAAGAAGCTGGAGCCATCAGAGCTCCTCCCTGGACAGGAACCAGAGGCTCCAAGGGTGGAGACACTGAGCCCCTCCTCCCCCTTTCCCCAGGGACCTTCAAGGCAAAGGGGCATCCTCCTTGCCCAGCCCCTTCAACCCTGGGAAGTGGGAAAGATCACGTTTGTCTGGCAAGAAGCTGGCGCGCGTGCGTGTGTGTGTGTGTGTGTGTGTGTGTGTGTGTGTTTTGGAGGAAGGTGGGATTGTCCCCTGCCCAGATGCAACTCCGAACTTTGGTCCCTCTCCTGTCTCCCTTCCCCCTGCCTGGCACTAAAGACTGGCCGCAGCCCGCCCTGTCGCCATGGTTACCACTGCTTGGTTACTGGTGGGAGGCGGGGCACAGGGCAGATTTAGCCAATCTGCAAACTGAGGGGGAGGGGCAAGGCTGAAGCCAAGGTCCCTGGGGGAAGGGGCCGTTCCCAGCCTGTCTGGAGCCCAGAGGTGGCCAAGGGCCAACTCAGCGGTCAGCCTGGGGTCAGCAGGCCATAGGGCTTCCCCCACTCCCCTCTCCAAGTCTCTGGGCGAAGATCTCACTCCTTGCCCCACCCAGCTCTTTCTCCTAATGGCTCACTATTCAGAACCAGATCCTGGAGCAGGGCAGGACTGGAATGTGCTGCCCCCCTCTGTCCTCCCAAGCTGCGCCTTCACAGGGCTAGAAGGGAAAGGGGAAGGGGTGGCATGGTTGAGGGGGTGATGGGAGCAGGATAGGGTGAGGGGATGGGAGTTGCCTCCAAGTCTGGTTGGGGCTGCTGGGCTAGAACTTCAGCCTGTGGGGACAGGTTGGGGCAAAAGTCGAGTGTGACTCCAATGTTGGCGGGAAGGCAAAGGCTCATCAAGAGTCAGGCGTGGTCACCAGCCCTTGGACACTGAAGTACTGTCCTTGTCCCCCACCCTGTACACTCTGGAAGCTTGAGGCAGCGGGAACACTGCCTGGCTGGGCTTTCAAACAACACTTCCCAGGAGAATAACTGCCTGCCCCTTCTACTCCAGACCCAACATGCCCCAACCTGCCCCCCTCACTCTCATCCCCCCAGACCTGCTTGTCTTCCTGTGTTCTCTCGCCTGGTGAATGGCATTACCACCCACCCAGCCGCCCAAGTCAGAAACCTGGGCTTCCTCCAGCCTCCTCCCTCTCTGCACCCCACATCTCATCCATCACCAAGTTCTGTTGTTTCTGCCTCCTAAGTGTCTTTGGGATGTATCCACTTCTCGCTCCACTGCCTTCATCCAAGCCACCCTCAGCTCTCTTTTGGGCTTTTGCATGCAACAGCCTCCTGATAGCTTCCCTGCCTCCAGTTTCTTCCTTCATAATCCATTCTCCTTTCCAAAGTAAGAGTCATGTTGCAAAATGAAAACCCAGTCGCTGCCCCCCTCCATTTAAAAGTCCTCTCTCCTCCCCTGGTACCTCGGCATCAAGCCTAGGGGCCTCACCCCTCTCCAGGCTCTGCACTGTCAAGCCTCTGCCCACCTCATCCTTCATCATGCCCCCCACCATCCTGACTTCTCAGTTGTTCAAGTGCTGTCCAAGCCTCGGTTCCTTCTGTTTCCTCTGTTTGGAGCACTGCCCCATCCCTTCACCTGACCTGTTCCTACTCATGAGCCTTCACTTCCCCCTGCGCGTCCTTTCTGCTCCCCTCACATCGCCTGATTGTGACTGCCTGTTGCAGGCCTCACTCCCTTGAGTCCTGGGGGTTCAGATAACTTTGTCCAGCTCGGAGCCTGGAGTGTGGCAGGCGAGAGAGTGAAGGGGTGGAGTCAGGCCTGGACCCCCAGCAGGAATTAGTGGGGCAGGGTAGAACAGTGTTTAGAGCTTAATCCAAGGGTCTCCACATGCTGGTCCCTCAAGGACCAGAGCCAAAAGACTGGGGTCTTGAAGGCGGGAACCGGCTATAGAAGCTGAAATCAGTGAGCTGGGCTCTCATCCAGTGGTGGCCTGGCCGAGGAGGCAGGTCACAGGCTGCCCTACACCACGCGCACTTTTAGGCACTTTCAGACATGTTCTGCCCCCTTCCCTCCAGCCCTTGCTCCCCATGGCTGGCTTGGGCTGGGCCTGGGATACTTCCAGCCTGGGGCAAGCCGGCACACACAGACCTTGGACAGAGCTTCTGTGAAAGGTAGGGCAGGTGCCCCAGAGAATTGACGACTGGAGCAGTGAGGCGCAGAGCGGACAAATGTGTTTCTATAGGCCTCTTAACGAGACAAATGAATGGGGGCCCTGGCCTCTGAGGGGAGTGGAGGGAAGTGGGGGTGGAGGAGCAGCTGCCAAGAGTTAGCCCAGAGGCCCCAGGCATCAACGCCGAGTCAGCTCGATGGAGACCTGGGCATTCGGGGTTTGGGCAGCTTCCCCCAGCCCAGGGCTTTGCGGCCTCTCAGAGGTTTTGCGGAGCCAGAGGTGGTCCTGTGCGGAGGAAGACACTCCTGCGGATCCAAAGCAGACATCCACAGCTGGAGTGTGTTGGAGGCAGCACTGGTACAGAGGCAGTGACCTGAGCGAACTTCATGCAGGGGTCTGGGGGCTTCCTGGAAGAGAGGAGACCTGAAGAGTGAGTGGGCATTTTCTAATGTGGGGGTTGGGACATGTTGTATAATCAGATGAGATTGGGGGGAAGAAGCCAGAACTGGCCTGGTTTTCTCCATGGAGCTCAAGGGAGAGCCTCGGTGAGAATCTTCCTCCTTTTGCCCCAGACAGCGTGGGACAGAGTTTCGGCCTGAGTTATGGCCCACTTGGAGTCTAGGAACCCAGAGCAGGATGCCTGAGAGCTGGAGGGGTAGGTGGTGGGCAGGGGCTATAGCTCTGTGGTGGGCAGGGACTTGAGTGTCTGAGGCTCCGTCTGTATCCCAGCCCCATCCTGCCCCAACACATGCACACACACCCCACTGTGGAGCCCGTGGACCTGGGCTGTGGCTGGTGGAGCGCTGCACACAGCACTGCAGTGCCCTTCCCCTCATCCTTATGGGTAGGCAGGACCCAGTGGCCTGACTAGACTCTGCCCTCTGTGGAACTTCTGGGAGGTTGCTTTCTCTCTTTGGGCCTGTTTTCCTATTGCACAATGAGGGTAATCACTCCTACCTGGAAAGGTTAACTGAGGTCATGTGGACAAGGCACCTGGCACCTAACGTGAGTTCCCCACATCCGAAGCCATGACCTAGGGCTCCCTGTGTTTCCCTGTGGAATCCAAGGTTGGCCCTGGGGGGCTTCCCTCTGGGGAGACCACAGGAGCAGTCACCGGAGCCAGCATTAATGAGTCCCCAGCTCATTAGGCAGTTGGGAGAGCTCCCTCCCCTGCCTTTCAGTTCCTGACTGCGTGTCTGCTCTCTGCTTCCGCGTGCTGTTTGTGTACGTGTGTGTGCGTGCTCCACAGGGGAGGCACAAAATAGCAGTCTCTCTGCGGAGTGAACTTGCAGGTGGCCCGGTTTGGAGTTTGGCTGTCCCAGGGGCTGGACCTGGTGGGTGCATCCACTGGCACCTGCTCCCCCAACTCCATTTGTTCCTTTCTTTGGCCTCTTCCCCCCACCTTGTAAGGGTTCAGTGGTCTGCTGACTGGCTGTGACCCAGGACATGCCCCTAAGAGCTGCCCAAAGGGCTGTGGTGCCCAGACTTCTGTGTATATGTGGGGCCAGGCAAGGAGGGGAGGTGGAGGCACATGCAAGTGGGGCAAAAAGCCTCCTGCCACGTGGCCTCAGGAGTTCTCTCCAGACCCACTGAACACCAGCTCTGGGTCACACCTGGTAGAGCAGTCAGGTTGCCTGATTTTGCCACCTGGCTGGGGGCCTGACCAGTCACTGCAGTGGGTAACCGGTGCTGGGGGGGAAACCCAGGCACTGCCCACACAGAAGAGGCTCCCACAGGCTTGGGGGGTGGGGCCCATGCGAGGGGCGGGGCCCCCGCAAAGCATGGGGGCAAGTAGGTGCCCATGGGCCTGGCCTGTCAGAGCAGGCCTGGGGAAGGGGCGAGTCCAGTGGCCTCAGCCATGTTCAGCGTTTGGTCCTTGGGAGGTGCTGCTTTTTGAGAGTGAAGAAAAGTGAACCCAGAGAAGTGAACTGCACAAGAGGGGGGCAGGGGAGTGGGAACACTGACAGAGCTTGTAGCTGGTGGAGTTGAAGGTCAGGTTCGTGCTCCCCAAAGCCCTGGAGAGCCTTTCTGGTAAACAAAAGGGGCAAGGGCTTGTTTGGCAGGGCTTTGGGGGCTCCGTGCTGTGTGAGGTGGGGTGGGATTGGGTTTGAGGGAAGCAGAGCAGGGGCCAGATTGAGGGAAGGGCCTCACAGTCATGGCGTTTGGGCGGCACTGCCAGTTGAGTCAGGTGGGTGGGCTGGGCGGGCCCTGGCTCCTTTCCAGCCAACAAGTGGGGGGTTCTGCCTTCTCCAGGGCCCCAGGCGTTGGCCCGGCCCAGCCTCCACACAGCACTTGGGCTTTTCCCTTCTGGCTGCTCTCAGGTGACCCATACCTGGCTCTCTTCCCTCTTTTCTAGTTCTTTGTTTGGTGTAGAGGCCCCGCCTGCCCCCGCCCCCAGGGACTCGCTGGCCATTCCGGTTCAACAGGTTCCAGCCTCTGTTTCTGTGGGGACGGGTTGAGGCAGGAGCTAGAGGGTTTCTACCCAGGTTTCTTGCGGCCCACCCACCCCTGTGGAGGGGGCTTCCCTTGGTGTGTGAGGGTTTCGGTCTCCACGCTTCGTGTTCCCTTGTCAGGGCCCTCTTTGGATGGCCAGCCCCTCCTTTGTGTCGGGGCCCGGGTCAGGCACTAGGACGGGGCAGGAAGCAAAGCAGGCATGGTGTCTGCCCAGCCCCAGGTTACTGTTCTAGGAAGCAGCTATGAATCAAATACTCCCACAAATGTGGAAAAAGTAATAATCTCACACATACGCAGCAAACATGAGCAGCACTGTGAGAGACAGGAAGCTACCAGAGTTAAGCACCAGGAACTGAGCTAATGAAGGTGGGGGTGATGACAGAGGGCCCAAGGAAGATTATCTGAGGAAATGTTTAAATTGAGCTCAGAAGGTGAATCAGAGTTAGTAGGTAAAGGCTAAGACCTGCTCCACTGAAGGGACAACTTATGCAAAGGCCCTGAGGCTGCCAGGAACACTGTTTATCCTCGGGGCAGGGAACCAGGGCTGGGGGAAGAGTGGTAGACTGTTGGCCATGATGAGTGCAAATTTTGTTTTGAGAGCAGCAGAAGGCCTTTTGTGGGTTGTGAGTAGGGGAGAGACACTACCAGTTGATTCTGGCTTGGAATTGGAATTGGGGGGGGATCCTGGGAAGGGCAGACTGGAGCTTGTTCAGTTGGTGGAGTGTCTAGTCGAGGGACAGTGGTGTCTGGACTTAAGGTGGTAGTGGTGCTGAAGGAGGGTGGGGAGCTGCTGCCTGGAGGGCCTCAAGTGTGCGGGTAGAAGACCAACCCCACCCCCACTGGGCCTGGTCCTATCTGATAAGGCCAGAGCCCTGAAGATTGGGAGAGTCCAGAGCCCCCTTCAAAGGTGGGTGGGGGGTTGGTAAATGAGGCAAACAGGCTCCCAGACCCTCTGCTTGTCCCCATGCCACCCTTGGTCCCCACCAGGTTGTGTATTTCCCCACTGAGGCAGCCTTCAGCTCCTCTAAGAACCCTCAGGAGCAGTCAGCTAGGTCCCAGAGTTGCCTCCATCCCAGTCACTCTGTACTTCCCCACTACTTAACCTTCTGAGCCTCTGTTTCCCCACCTCTTAAAATGGGAATGCTAATAACACCCACCTTACAGGATTGTTTCAAGACTGAGCATGTTAATGAGGGATGGCTACCCTCACGGAGTCCACCACTTGTCAAGCCTGTGCAGGCTGTTTATAGAAATCATGACTTTCGCCCGTACAGACCCTGTCTCGCTAGCACCATTTTGCAGAGGAGAAAGTGTCTGTTCAGAGATGGTCGGTGACTTGCTTAAAAATTATAAAAGAGGGCCTCCCCTGGTGGTGCAGCGGTTGAGCGCTTGGGCTGCGAGGCTGCCTGCAGCCACTGCAGCGCCGGTTCGGCCACCGGCGAGGGTCCCACAGGAAAAAAAAAATTATAAAAGACTCGAAAGCCCGCTGAGCCCTTGTAACAGGGTGGTCCCCAGGAAAGGTAAAGTCTCATGTTTTGTGTTAATGCGGCAGATGGCAGAACCCTATATAGAATAGGCAGGTTTGCGGGGTTTGGGCTGCCCCTCTCCCTGCCCTGTAACACCCTGGGGGGTGCTCAAGAAGGTGGCCCCCCCCAGCTCCCTGCAAGCCAAACCCACCCTGCTCTCCATATCTGCTGCCGTTGCTCCTGACCTTGGGGACCCCTGGACCCTAATCTCCTTGGAAACTCTGCCCCATCTCCTGTCCCTCCTCTCACTGCTGGCTGGGCACCTGCTTCCTCTCTGCTGGCTCCTTCCCTTCAGCATTTAAACACTCACATCTCAGGAGGAAAAGGAAACATTGAAAATCTCCCTCCAGCCCTCATCCCCTCCAGCAGCATCTTCCCTGTCCCCCTCTTCACCATCCTCTCGAACTGGTCTCTGCACTTTTCCCATCCGTTCCCCGGCCTGGCCGAGGCCCCCGCCATGCCACTGATCCTGCTTTTTACAAGCCTCCCGATAATGCCCTGTGGACTGTTTTGTGCTGGGTGTATTAGAGTCAGACAGGCCCGCATTCAGGTCTCAGATGTGCCACTAAGTGGCGACGTGACCTCTGTGAGCAGTGAGGAGAAAGGAGACGAAGAAAGCACCTGGCATGGAGCGGTCGCTCAGCAGAGGCTGCCGCCATCGCACGCGCTGGCTTGTGTTAAGGGACCAGGCCAGGCCTGGCCTCATCGGCCCGACAGGTGGTCTGAAAGGTCATTTCTCACGGTACTAGCCTTCCTGGAGCTGTTCATCGGCCTGATTAATAGGAAATGAATCCGCTGTCGGGATTAACGAGGCGTCGCTATGTCTTAATGAAGTCTGGGTTTCTCTAGTCTTGTGACCCTGGGTAGTGGGATTCCTGGGGACAGGTGCTGCAGGTTGGCCCTGGAGTGTGTATGTCAAGGTGATGTGGGCATGGCAGCACCATGTCTGAGCCCCCTCCTCCCCCTGCATCCCCGTGGACACCTTGGGGAGACATCCAGGCTGTCAGAAGGCAGTCATCAAGTCTGCGGGGTGGGCTGGGGGAGGGGCAGATTTACAGTAAAGCATTCACCTGGGAAGACGTCCAGAGATACTTAGGAGGTGGAATGTCTAGGCCTTGGGGCTGCTGGTATGTGGAGGCAGGGAAGAGGAGGAGTCCTGGTCGCTGGCTTGAGCCTTGGGTAGATGAAAGTACCACCACTTAAATGGAGAGCAGTGGGGGAGGGACACATCTGGGGGAGATACTGGGGCTGTGCCTGGCAGCCCTCCGCATGCTTTTGTCTTAGAATTGATTGGGGTATGGGAGGCCAGGGAGTGCAGTGGTTAAAGCATGCATTCCAGACTAGGACCACCTGCCTTCAAATCTTGCCTCTGCCACTAACCAGTCGTGTTATGTTGGGCAAATCCCTCGATCTCTCTGTGCCTGATTTTCTTTTCTACAAATGGAGGTAATTACAGCACTCACCTCATTTGTCTACAGCTCTGTGAATGGCAGCACTGGGTAAGGGTAAGGCATTGCTGTCATTTCCGCTATAGATTGTTCTCTGCGCCCCTCTCCCACGCTGCCATGTAGTGACCACACTGGGGTAACTGAGTGTCTCCATTTCTCCAGGCAAACCTGTCTTCATTAAGGTCCCTGAGGACCAAACTGGGCTGTCAGGAGGGGTGGCATCCTTCGTGTGCCAAGCCACCGGGGAGCCCAAGCCACGCATCACATGGATGAAGAAGGGGAAGAAAGTCAGCTCCCAGCGCTTCGAGGTAGGTCCTAGGGTGGGAGGGGCAGGCTGTGCTGAGATCTGTCTACTCCAGCATCTGGTCCTGCATCCTGTCCTTTGGTCTCTCTCCCTGGGGCCCCTCTGGAGACGGGAGGCTGACTGACCCTGAGCAGGCACCTGATTCTCAGCAGGCTGTGACCTCATGTCTGTCCTCTGGCAGGTAATTGAGTTTGACGATGGGGCAGGATCTGTGCTGCGGATCCAGCCGTTGCGGGTACAGCGGGACGAAGCCATCTACGAGTGCACCGCCACCAACAGTCTGGGAGAGATCAACACCAGTGCCAAACTCTCGGTGCTTGAAGGTACGTGGCGTGGTGGGCAGCTAGACTGATGTGTGGCGAGAGCCAGCCCACTGTGTCCCTGCCATGGCTGGTGTGCTCTTGGCCATTGTGGGGTCAGTGAAGGTCAGCAGTGAATGGGGGTGTCATTGGATCTGACCTGCATCATGTGGCTTGTCCTGAGGCCAGCTGTGTGCAATGTGGTGTCTTTGTATTCTGCTGAGCTGGGGCATTGCCCAGGCAGTCAGGATCTCACTTTCTCACTTGAGGTGTGGGGTGTATGCCTTGGCTTCTGTGGTTGTGGCAGTGTATCTGGCTTTTATGTGGAGCCTGGTGGTTGGCTTCAGGGCGGTGTCTTCCCTATTTCCCTTTATGAGCTAGGGCCCTAGGCTGGAGGCTCGGGTTCCAGGCTCCATATGTGGATTTTAGTGTCTTTTTCTCTCTTGGTGGCTCTTCTGTTTCCCCACAAACACTCCCTAATGCTGCCTTAAAGGCAGAGGGTCATCTGACCCAGCCCCAACCAGGGGTTTGGGGAGTACAGACCTGAAGGAGGTGTTGCCTAAACCAAATGCTGATGACGTGGGAATTCAGGCGAGGTCCAGGCAGAAGGAAGAGCATCAGCATATGCTAGGCTCACAGGCAGGAGAGAAGGTAGCTCTCGGGGACTTCTGAGTAGTTCAGTTTGGTTTTGGGCAGGAGTGGAACTGGAGGAACAGAGAGAAGGGAGGGAGAACAATTAGGCATGAACCTGGAGATTGCACAGGACTCAGCTGAGAAATAAACATTTCCCCGGGACATAGGACACCGTGAACTGGTTGAGGAGTGACATGATCAGACCCCAGCCATGATGAATCCATCATTCTGAAGGTGTCTGTGTGCATTTTCAAAATCCGGCATTGATTGTTGCTTTTTTTTTTTTTTTAATACAGTAACAATACCTGTTCGCTGATGAAAATTTGATAAGTATAAAATAGCACATAGGGAAAAATTAAAATTACTTGTTATCTTACTTTTATTATTAACATTGGCTGTTTCCTTATTCATTTCCTGTGCATGCATTATAACAAAAATGAGACCACATTCTGCCCATGATTTCCAGGCTGCTTTTTAAAAAATTGTCGTGAACATCTTTCTCACCATTAAATACTCTTTTGCATCATTATTTTTAATGCCTGTGGGTAAGTGTCACCTGGAAATATCCTAATTTATTTAGCCATTCCCTTATTGTCAGATGCATATGTTGCTCCCAGTTTTTTGCTTTTATAAATGAGGCTCTATATGTCCTCAGAGAGAGGGTATGCTCTCCTGCCTCGTTACTCCTTACTCTAGATCATGGATGTAGGATTGCTCTATCAAAGGTCACCTGCGCTTTTAAGCCTTTTGGTATTGCCAGAAAATTGTGTCAGTTTATACTCCCGCCAAGCAGGGCAGAAAAGGGTCTCTTTTCTGCACATCCTCACCAGCAGCGGGAATTATCATTAAAAAAATATTTTTGCCAAGTTAATAGGCAAAAAACGGCATTTCAATTTAATTTGCATTTCTTTGATTACAGGAACAGTTGAGCATCTTTCCACATTGGCCGTTTTCTACTCTGGCTTTATGTTCATACACACATCCGTTTGGTCACTACTTTTCGTCTGTGTCTGGGGTCCTCCAGCTTGCAGGGGCAGTGGAGGACAGTGGTTAAGAGTAGGGCCTCTGGACTACTTACTCTGTCGCCTGGTGGCCTTGGGCATGTAACTATGCCTCTGGGCCTCCTTTGCTCTATCACTAAACAGGGATATAATACCTACTGCCGAAGCTGGTTTGGAGGATTAAATATGATGTCGTTAGTTAAGCACTAACTGCAGGATTCCAGGGTGAATGGCAGCTGCACATCCTGAGGGCCAGATGTGTGAGCTGTCAGTAGCTGGGTTCCATGCTGCCTGGAGTTGTTGGGGTGGTACAGGGGGTTCTTATCTTTGGAGTGAGGTCCAGAGGACAGGCGCTGGGCCAGGCGCACCAGTTGCTAAGTGCTCTCAGGCTCCACCCGCCACCCCAGCTTCAGTTTCCCCACTAATGACTTGGAGACAAGTCTTTTATCACTGTCCTTCTTCCCTCCCGCCCCCCCTTGGCATCTGCCCCCGCAGGGAGCCATCTGCCCTGCCTTTGGTTGGGAGGTGACTGAAGGGCCAGAATTGTGGCTCCTGCCCTAGAGGGCACCTGTGCAGGTTCTCAGATTAGGGAAAGAGGGACCCTATTAATGTTGAGGAAAACCCCTACCCCCCAACTCTGGCCCTCGTTCCCTCTTCAAATCATCTGTGGGCTCATCAGCCCCCACCAGGGACCTGGACAGCTTTATCTTTTAACGACTTGAGGAGGTGGCCTCCCTGGTCGCTCAAGGGGTTAAGTCTCAGCACCCACATGGTGCAGCAGACCTCCTGTCTCACTAGCTGCTCCCCTCAGCATGTATTTCAGTAGATCTGCCTGTTCTGCTCCCCACTCTGTCTCTGGCGAATCCTCTCACCATCCCCACCCCCCACCCCACACTTCTGGCCTATACCCCAGCTCTTGTGGACATAAATAAATAAATCTTTTTTAAAAATAAATAAATAAAAAATAAAGGATTGAGGAGGGTAAAGATGATCTTTTAGTGCCTGGGGTGAGGGGGACTCATATATCAGGGTGATCTCTCTATCTGGAGGGGCTTTGGAGATATGTTTATGCTCCTGGGGTTTGAGAGGTATCTGATGAGCCTGGGGAGAGTGGGGCAGCTCCTTGCCTGCTGGGGGTGGGGCTGGGGGCCTGTGTGAGCCCCGCCTGCTCTCAGAACACAGCTCCACAGCTCCGGGAAGATGAAGTGCTGACTTAGACTCTTGGTCTGTGTAACCTTGACCAGCACTGGGCTTGGCAGAAAGGAGTGGAGTGGGAGGCCTCAAAGGTTCCAGGAGGTGGGGCCCCAGGACAGCAGCCCAGCCTGTGACCACTCCCACCCTGCCCCCAGCTCCACCCTCCTGTGGAGGCCAGAGAAGCTGGCATGTGTGTAGGAACAGGGTGAAAGGATGTTTTGACCAGAGCCGTGGGCTGGGGCCATGGAGAGCCAGGGCCATTCCTAGGAGGCCTCTACAGGCTCTCGGGAGGGTGGGGAAAGGATAAAGCTGTTTGGGGGGCTGGGAATAAGAGTTGAGTCCCTGACCAGGTCACACAGTGCTCTTGCCCCCAAACCTGTGAGTTGCAGACACATGCTCACCACATGCTGGGTTTAGGGTGCAGCTGAGGGGTCAGTGGATCCCAAAAGGGGACCCCCAGTGTAGAGGTCCATCCCACGCCCCCTGCCCTGCCTGTCCCCAGAGCACCAGGCCGCCCTCCCTCACACTCACACTGGAACCCCTGGGAGCCGCTCCCTCCTCATGGCCTTTGCACCCAGTTCCCCAGACTGGACTGCTCCTCCCAGTGTTCCAGAGATCCCTGGCTGCCCTGGGATGCCCAGCCATCTGCCTCACCAGCTCCCAGCCCCAGGCTGGATACAGGGCTGGGTGCCCAGCACAGGCTGGCTGGGGGTGAGCCTGTCCAGGGCTGTGAGGAGTGCAGGGCCCCACCACCCTGCGTTCCTGTCTGAGTGGTAATTGAAGCCATTAGCGCACCAGCCTCTCCCTCCCTGGGTAATGGCAGGAAAAGCTCTTCTCGCTCTGCACTCTTGAGGCGGCAGCTGAATCACTCCCCCTCCAACCCGCCCTGCCGCCACTGAGACAGGGAATCTGACATTTTCCCTTTAGAGGGAGGGGGAGGAAGGGGGAGGAGAGGCAGGCAGGCCTTGCTTTTTGGCCTTTCCCTCCAGAAGGTGGGGCCAGTGAGGGTCTTGGAGCTGTCTGGAAGTCATGGTTTCACCTGGGTCAGCGGGTTCCACGCCAGGCAGGACGGTGGTCAGGAAAGCCCCTGAAAGGAGGCTAGATTGCAGCGGTGTGGGCAGAGCGCTGGTGCTTTGGGTAGTTTCTGGATGGGACCAGAAAGGGGGGTGGGGAAAGGAAAAGGGCCAGAGTAGGGATGAGGAATCTCTGATGTTGTCCTGGCGGCTGCAGCTCTGAGGGCTTCACACGCAGGTCGCGGCATTTGCTTGTGGTCATGGATGGAGTGAATACATGTGCTCCGTGGTGTGGGCACCCCGTGTGCCAGGGGTAAGGTGGTATGAGTGCAGTGGGAGGTGTGTATCTAGGGAGTGTGCCTTGGGGGCTCGCTGTGCAGCCAGGGGTGTGTGCATTTCAGGCAACGTGTGGTGCACATCATGCAGGCGTGTGTGCTCACAGGAGCCGTGTATGAGGGCATGGGTGTACGGCAGGCGGTGCACGTTGTGTGTGTGCAGCAGGCAATGTGGATGTGTGTGGTGTATACAGCAGGTGGTGTGCATTGTGCAGCGCGTGTATGTGTGTGCAGCAGACTGTGGGAGGGTGTGTGTGGTATATATAGCAGTTGGTGTGTAGCCTATAATGTGTGTGTGCAGCAGGCAGTGTGGACGTGTGTGCAGCAGGTGGTGTGCACCATGGAGGGTGTGTGTGTAAGCGCAGCAGGCAGTGTGGGTGTGGTCTACAGCAGGTGGTGTATCCATTTTGGACTGTGTGTCCATCAAGGGGGGTGTACAGACGTACCCTTGAGCTGAATGTGTGGGGTCAGTCTGGCGCTGTGGGAAGTGAGAGAAACAATCTGTGTTCATTGTCTGAGATTCCACAGGCTCCCTGCTCAGAGCTGTTGGCCACCAGGACAGCTGACAGGGATGGACATGGTACATAGCGGCTGGCTGAGCTGTTCTCATTGCTTGCAGTGGCCCCTCAGCAGTTCTTCTGTGCCCGACCAGGAGGGAGGTGCACCAGAGAAGGGTCCGACCCAGACCTTGGGATCTTCTTGCCTCCCTGCTCCCATCCCCCAAGCGCAGGTTCCCTCTCACCTGTTCCCACCTGGCTTCTGAGTCTGTACCAGGAACCTAGGTGCCTGCACGGAACGCCTGCTTCTCCTAGCACCTAGGACCCAGGCCGACTTCTCTTCCCTTATAG